TTTAGTTCCTTTAGTTCCTTCAAAGATTCAATTGGACGATCTGCCAATCGTCCATCACAAGGTCAACAGGCCGAAGCCGTTGATGAAGGTAAATATCACGAATAATCATGAGAAAGAGGAGCCAGTGAGTCTGAAACCCCAGCTGCTGTCATCGCTTCACATCTATGCAGACGATCCTTACAAGAAATTAGGGGAGACAGTCGAACCTCAAATTTCAACGACTGAAACTTCTCAAATTAATTTAAACAAGACTCTGAAGATAAAAGATCAGAAGAAGGACTCAAGCATGGAGTTGATGGAGAAGCTGCCGCTGATTCCCTTGAACCAGAACCAATCGCAGTCGGAAAAAAAGCCTCTCAAGACAGCGACAACTCCAGTTTCCATCAAGGGGCAGGATAAACCCAAGGAGTCAGACAGATGGACACTGATTCCTCAGCAGTTGCCTCCAACAGCGCCGAAGAAGGAAATACAGGCGAAGCGACCGACACTGGAATCTATCACAGCCCCTCCAGAATCCACCACTCATAAACAAATAGATCAAATTGCCCTGACACATTCAAAAACCGTCGAAGCTCTGGACTCCAGCGTGAAATCACTAAAGCCAGACATCTCCTACTTCTCAAATCTCTGCAACAAGCTCGCCTTCTCCTTCTGGATATCAACGAATGAGGGCCTGTCACCAGCTAGATCATTGGCAGTGTCGCCGTTCGGAATGACAAGCATGTTGGCGATGGTGTTCCTGGGAGCTCGGGGTCCAACCTCCGAGAAGATGAACAATCTCCTAAAGCTAGACGACGTTGCTTCCTTCAATCCACACTTGATTTTCCAGAATATCACAGATTCCGTGGGCCTAGCTCGTAAACAGGGAATAGCTAACGCAGCATTTGTCCGTGAGTTGTTCGCGGACAGAGAGAAAGTGCGAAAGCTATTTCCATTCTACAAGAAACAGGCGCAACAGTTCTACGATGGTGTAGTCGCCGAGGTGAACTTCGGGGCGATAAGTGAATTAGTGAGAAAGAGAACTAATCTGATGGTGAGAAAACAAACTGGAGGAAGAATCAAGGACTTTGTCAGATCTAACACTATACCATTGACATCACCCCTGGCTGCACTATCAGCCAATGTCTTCCAGACAGATTGCAACTCCAAGGACGCGAGCTCCGATGGAAGGGATGGTGAACTTTATTTCGCTGTATCACCAGCTATACGACAGAGAAAGCTTGTGCCAGTGCCATCGACTGTATGGAGAGCTGGAGTTCTCGCGGGTTACGAGCCAAATCTTGATGCAACGGCTATCGCCCTAGGTGGACCTGAAAAACTCGTATCAACGATCTTTGTCATTCCTGGACAACAGGGCTTCACAGCACCTGGTGATAGCCTCGAGCTTTTGGAGGAGAGGCTCATCCGGGGTGCGACACACGATGGGGCTTGGAACAAATTGCTCACGGTTGTCATTCCGAGACCCGGACTAGAGCTCCAAGTACCCAAATTCAGTCACAGAAGTGTTATCAATGCCACTGGTGCGTTGAAGAGGATGGGCCTGAGGGAAATGTTCGACAAGCACGCGGATCTCAAGGGGATCAATGGAGTTGGAGCTAATTTGCATCTGACTGATGTTGTTCAGGTGAGTAAATAGTCATTAGGTTTGTTAATTCAGGTTGATAATTGATATCCTTCCAGATGAATCTATTCAGCACTTGCGGGGACGAAAATATTCAGAATGGAAGACATCATGTCGAGGTTTATCCGTCGGGTCTCCAGAGAAATGCTAGAGGATTTAAAGAATTTCCTAGGGATTACAAACCCAGAACCTCGGAACCACTGCCATCGATACAGAGAGAGGACTTAGATAAACCGAGACTGAAATTAGATAGACCATTTTTGTACTTTGTTCGTCACAATCCCACTGGTTTAATCCTCCACATGGGACGCTTCAATCCAAGACTTTTACCGTAATAATAATGAGAATAATAACTCATTCATTGTCCCGAAGAATTTAACGTGAAAATTCAATTGTTTGAATTACTACGAGTATCATGAGCATCAGCATTGTGTTTGTGCAACTGTTCACACGTATTTATTTGCACTCTCGATTAAGGATGTTCTGTGCCCTATCCGGTAAACCGTTCTTTCAGCTTTTATGACAAACTTACGATGGTGTAAATATTTTCTTGTGTTTTTTCAAAAATAAAGAAAAAATAAAACTGGAGGAAAAATGCATAAAAATAATCACACCATCACGAAATTTCGTGAGCCACTAAATAATGACAAAACGCAAACACGTAATATTTTTTCGCGTCAACCCCATCGATAATTCGCCAATACAAAATTTAGAAAACGTGAATTCTGATTGAAAGGGTCTCAAACATCCTTAATTCATTAGAGAACCGTAAAAATAAATCCTTCATGTGCACAAACCCGCGGCAATTGATCTTGATCATCGTCCAAACGGAATGACAAATGACAAATCGAAATTTGGACCATGATTGATATCAATGACAGATACAAAGATCAAAACAACTCCACGTGCATTAGTAAATTCCATAGAAAAAAAAATATCGAAATATTTCTACTGAATTTTCGTATCGTGCATTAATCGATAACAATAAACGTAACATAAGTATCATGACTAGAATAAGTGCAAGTATTAATTATCAAATGATTCTCTGAAGTAATGAAGAGCGTTTGAATGATTGAGGGGCTAGAATTAACTCCCGAAAATCAAGGCATTGTATATATTATACTTTAACGATACATTAAATGCCACTAAACCATCGTTAATGACTGTAATAATTTGTATTCAATTAAAGATACTATTTAACTAGAATCTCTCGTGCGAGAAAATTATTCAATAGCTCTCCCCTGCGAGAGCGATTGACTCCCATCAACCATGATTTTTCCAACTAATTAATGATTAATTTAGAAATCAGACAGAAATTTCAGTTGAATCCAATCTTTTCTATTTTCTTTTCGTGCGTTTATAATTATTGTATGGCACCTGCCTTAATCACTCGGCGATAAATATTCCAATTCGAGTTGGATGTTCACAGACTTGAGGAAGGAGTGGGCTTATCAGTCTTATCGCGGGTACCAAGACCAGAAAGGTGGAATGCTTTTCAGTTAGAATTAAACGATCGTCTGGTTCTGAATAAAAATAGTCAGTGTTACTCTCTCGAAGATAGAGAAAAAAAATCATCGAGACAAATCTAATTACGAGTTCCATTGTCTGAACGCTAATTTCAACCGCTGAAATGTGAATTATCAATTTCGATGACGTTATAGTCAATGTTCAGGCTATGGCGAGATTGTGGTGGTATGAAATAATAATTTCGCGTTAAATCAATATCATTAGCATGATCATTGATTATTCACACGATAAAGAAGAAATAGAAAATCGTCGCGACAGATAGACATCGGTAAACAGCAATTTGAAGAGCTACAGGAATAACCATCAATACTCCAATCACTCCACTCACATATGGTTTGATATCCCAATAATCGTTCATTTGTATTTAAATGACAGAAGAGTAATTTAGAGGGGAAAAATATATACCAGTCACTCATCGATTCTTATCTGGTATATAGTTTCCTGATACGTTCACGAGAATCGGTATTGATAAACTGAATTTCCAATGAACTGGAAATAATCTTTGACGAGATCAACTGAATGTTGAGTGTCACCTTGTTTAAGACTCGGAAAATTCATTCGTGTCAACAGCTTTTTTTTCCTCGAGAAATATTTGTATATTCATGCGCATCTGATACGTATATTTTTTAAGATATTTCCCCAGTATTTCGTATTGTCCCGAGTTTTTATCTGGCTGCACATTCAAAGATAAGACGATGATTGTAAAGATAATGTGGATTGTAGTGACTGTACAATATGAGATGGGATATGATTTTTAATTGCACTTGTTAACGCAATGATTATTATTCTTCTGTCAATAATATCTTGAGGAGTGTCAATAATATATTCAATGGTTCTCCTAAATGGTAATTCTGGACAGATCGGGGCATCCAATAATTTGAGTTCCAAAAGAAGAATTCCCAAAAGAAGAATTCCCAAAAGAAGATAAACTAAGATTATTGTAAATGCCAGTATCGTTTTCATTACGCCACGCATATCTGGCAACCGAACCAGATCCCAGAATGATGAGGAATCCGGTTGATCTGTATGTCGTAGCAGGAACGCCTCCACTTCCACGTCGTGTACGTTCAACATGTTTTTAAAAGAAGAAAGCCCAGACTAACATAAAATTTCGTTTCCACTTCACGAGCTCGCTCATAAACATTATCCCACCTAACGCTAATTACTCAAACATCTGTACACAATCGTTAAAATTCTGTGACGCATCCTCTGACACCTCTGGCATCACCTAATAAAATCATCTTATTCCAGTTGGTATCTTTTCAATTGCAGAGTCATTGACGCACCGTCTTTCCAAGTTGGTTGATTACATTGTACAGTGCCCGCGATGGATGATACTATTAGCCCATTTGATTACAGAGTACGTCATCACGACTTTATCAATCCTTACGCATTACCTACATGAGAATTAAATCGACTCAAATCGACAACTAATATTTATCACCATAATCAGAGACATTAGAAGCTGCCCCATAATATCCCAACATAACAGTCCTAGATTTAGAATGAATTGATCATTTTAGGATGTACACTGTCCCCTTTTAGCGGAAATTATCGTTTTTTTTTTTGGTTTTTGGACGATTTTTCAATTTTTAATCGGATTCACCCGAAAAATATACCGTTTTTTGCATTTTATCGTTATTATTTCATGATTAATGAATGCGTATGAGAGTGCGACAGTTTTCCTGTTTTTTTAAACATTTTATGAATTTTTAAAGTGTTTAGAAAAAATTGGGGAAAATAATTGCTCGGTCATGACATTTTGGGAGTCATTAAATAATGATAAAATGCGGAAATCCGATAAACGATCTATCATAAAACACGAGAAACTGGTAACTCAGACTAAAAGAAGAGCGAACATCCTCAAATCTGATAAACATGTATTTTTAAAAAGTGAATTCAGTACTGAAGTCGCAAAGAGAGATAATTCAACGTACATCCCACTTGCGTTTTCGCGGAATATCTATGAATCTAACGAAGATATCGAAATTTTTATAATAACATTTCTTGTAGCACTGAAAGGGTACCACAATAAAGATAATAATAAAAATTTCGCTATCTCGTTTAGATTCCGAGATATTCCCGAAAACGTGTGAATGGTGAAGACAGTTTTATCTCCGTTTACCGATTTTTGTACAGAATTTCACTGATGAAAATAACATTCAGGAGACCGAATGCTCTGGGAGATCGTTGGCGACGATGCTGGTGGCCTGGGTGAGTGCAGCAATGGTGGCTTCAGTTCTTTTGCACTGGAAATACATGTGGATAGCACTAGCTGTGTTGACACTGCTCTTTCTAATAGCCTGCGGCTACGCAGCCTTCACAACCCGGAGGAACATACAACGTGATATTCAATCAAATGAGGCATACATGGACCAAAGAAGCAGGGAAATAAACTCAGTATCTGGTGACCTCGCTCCTTGCGATGATGTCAGTACTCCACGTCAATTAACCAACGCAATATTCACCTGGTAACCATCCATTTGTTTAATTTCACAGAGATCGGAGCCCCCGGCCTATCAGAACTATTGGATAACCGATTTACCACCACCGTATGCCGTTGTGATTGGCGTTGAACAAGCCCCACCATCATCACTGGAGAGAGCTCAATCACCACCTCCAAGATTATCAAATCCACCACCTTATTCAGTAGCTGTACAACAGGATAACGCAACATCACCCTCCGTTCAATCCCAATCACCAATTTCCCACGTCAATTCCAGAGATGCAACAGCTGCAATAACCATTAACGATGACAAAGATACTACTGAACAATCAAGATGTGGTCACAGTCACGTATTACCTGGTGCACAGTATTTCAGTTATTTTTTAAGCACGCGATTTGGATTGGCCAGATCTAGGAATCTCGAGATAAACTCAACCCAGAGTTGTCAGGAGGATGGACGTAATCAAGGGAATCAGGAATTATCTGGTGGTTCATCCAGATTGGATAATACCTAGACTAATCCAGAGACACGGATTTGATTCGTCATTATTGTACCTTGATAGCTCATTCAGAGAATAAATTCATTTTCATGTGGACAATGTTTTTTTATAATTTTTTTAATACCGACGTTTTTTAATACCGACGAGCTGATGGAACCTGGTGCATATTGATGTTGGATTGGTTTAGTTCTGGGTGAAGTGTACGGTTACTTCTCGCTCGTGTGGAATTCGAAATAACAATCAACCCGTTGGACTATATGGGAATTCCGAGGGGTGGGGAATCTCAGAGCAATTAATTAATTGGGGCTGATAATGACTGAATTTAAGAGTCATTAATTCAACAATTAAGGGGCAATTAATCTTCAGGAATGGCTCATCCCAATTTTCAAAATAATGCATTTTACTCAAAAACTAATGAACTTTTCCTCTGAAGGAATTCAGACACTCGCATGTTTTATTCACATTTTTTCAAAATAAATTTCACACACTACCTCATTTTACTTCAACTCTACCTCAACTTCTCACGTAATAATTGTAATGACTGTGTGCAACTGGATATTACGCGTGAGGATCATTACCACTTTCGATATATCACGAAATATCAATTCCCAGCCAATTGGATTCGGAAAAATCGTTAATCACTCTTCTCTCGATAATTGCAAGAACAATTCCAGCGAGGCCATTAACAGGATCTAAATTATTATATTTTTTAATCCAGTGCTTGAGATTTCTCAGTTAATGAATAGTTCATTAAAAATTGAGAAATGCGGTTCTAATAAAATTTAATTCAGGGACGCAGGTAAATTTGTATAGACTGTATCTGCATTGAGAAAAGTTATTGATATTCATATTTCTATTTATGCCGCGATTTGTTTTTTATTTTTCAGAAATTGTTGACGAAATTGACGGGAAAGAAAATCCCATTCGAATAAAAAATGTGAAAAATTCAATTTATAATTAAAACAAATTGACGCGCGACAATAAAAATTAATGAATCATGGAATAATCATAAAACCTAAAAACGAAATTTTTTTCACGTCAATCCGATCATCAATTTATCAAAAAACTAAAAGAAGGCCGATCATTATAATTTTATTGTAATGGACACCTGGAGTAATTCCAGTTACTCCAGTAGATTGTTCTAATCCTGATCGCATTACGATTTTCCAAAGGAATTTCTGGAATCACCAGGAGAATCTCCAGAAATACGAAGGAGAAAATTGCTGATGATGTCCTCCAATCAAAAATATAATTTCCTCAATTACTACACACTATTCCAAAGACAAGAGAGTGGATGCATCAGTCTCTTCAGAGTCCTGCCCAGGAGATCCACCACGTGTCCATCAGAAATCAGTGGAGAAGCGACACCAGCTACACCAGGTTGAAGAATATACCTCATCCAGAAATTGAAAGATCGACATCAGAATCCCTCACTGCCACCACCAATTACCCCCATCAATCCGAGAAACCGAAAGACTCAATTACCGATAAAGATCAGCTATTTAATAATCCTGAAAAGTCTCCACCCATCACCACCTCCTGCACTCAATAATCCACCGAGGAATTCCGATAATGCAGCCCATAATTCATAACATCAGCCATTAGAACCAGAATTTCCTGATGTTTATGGATATAAAAAGGGGAGCGTATGAATTAAATATAACCCATTGAACTCTGATGGTTGAAGGATAAAAAGACCACAGGAAAAATTTTCTCTACGCCCCGGAGGAATGCTTCACTCCCAACTACATTAAATTGTGCAACAGTGTCCTGGGGCTAGGTGACATCGAGAAAACACGATTTCCAACTCGACTGAACGCGCCCTCGACAGTTGTCAGCAATTGTTACATTCATATCCCTCATGCCAGCAATAAAATTCGAATTATTAACGTGACATGTCATTTTTCTTAATTCCCACTGGTCTCATTAAGATCAAATAAAATTAATAATCCAATCAATATGCATTGGCTCAAGGTGTTGGTGTAAAAGTCGTGATAAATTGGTGGGGAAATTGTGGAAAAAGCTTAATGCGCTCAGGGCGTTTGTTCCAGGGGACAGGGTAAACTGCGAGTGATCGTTACCACGCCTATTTTTATCATTTTTTTTTTCACTATTTACCGGTCAACTACCGCGGTAGATCACTCATGAGGACCTTTTGTGGTATAAATACCTCGAGGTTCATGCTGGATCGTTCAGTGTGTAAACTGAAATCCTTTGAGGAAGTTCTACTGTTATTTCTGTTGACTATTCACGATTCATCATGATTTGCAAGGTAATTTATATCGCATCTAACACCTCCGCAACAATTAATCTCCAGATTTTTCTATTTTGCCCAAGAATTTCGCCCTTTTCCCGTAACATCAAAACTCAATCACTGAATTATCTCACCAACGCGTCACCCTCAAGAAAAATGGTATCTAAATTTTTCGTGGATAATTTCATGCTCGACAAAAAATGTTAATAACATTTTCTCCTAAATTCACTCAGTCCCGAGATAATTCAGCAACAAGAAAATTAAAAAACTGACCAGTGGACTTGTTCTTCCTAGAGTTTTTAGAAAATATCTCCGAATCAAAGGGAGATATCAAAATTTTTTATGAGGTCTTTCTTGTGCAGCTCAACGAGAGCTACAAAAACGTTATCACAAAGATATCGTTATCTCGCTTAGATCGAGAGATATTCGTCAATTGAGCATTGAATACCGATTATTTTTTAATAATTTCCTCCAGATACTGACGTACGCGAGTTTCATCGTAGCTGTCAACGCGTACCTGTCCCACCAGCCCCCAGGACCCATCCCCTCACCCTATTACGGTCACAATGGACTGGCTGGACATTATGGATACCATGGAGGCTATCTGGGTAATAATTATGGACACGTGCTACCCCATCCTCAACCCCATCCTCAACCTTATCCTCAACCCCATCCTCAGCCCCATCCAGCCGTGAATCCCTGGGTGGTTGCACCAGGAGTTCACGGTGACAACGTGAATCCTCACAGATACCTCCACGGTGGACTCATCAGACAACACGCACCAGTGCAAAATTATCCTCAAACAACCGCCCTAGCACCAGCTCATCAAGTCACCAACAACAACCACATCGTACCACCATCAATTCAAGCTGTGAATCAACCTGCACCAGTTCGTACGATAAACTATCAACATCGACCAGTCATTCCTCCAGTTTTCTCCCATCACACTAGCATGTTCGAGCATAATAATAATGCCCACCAGAATCACGGAAATTGGGCCTGGTAAATCCTACGAATTTACCGTAGTGATTCTTCACTTAAATACGTGGTATCCCATAGTTTACAATTGTTATAAAATCTAATAAATTTTATTTACTCAACCGGTTGTCGATGTTCACGAATACTCTGAAGACCTCATCGTGCACTTGTCCACATTTTTTGTAATTGCACTGCACTAATTTTAATTGTTTTTGTAATTATAGGAGAAACTGTCACGAGAAAATATTGCGAGAATTTTTAGTAGAAAATTTCATTCACCAAACAAAATTCTTTGACACTTTATCGTGAAACCACACGTTCTCGAGATAAACAGAAAAATCGAGAGTTTAAATTACATAAATGATCTGATGATTAATTAATACTTCCGCACTTCAATTGCACTTTGTCCTCGACAATGTACGTTAGAATTCACCGGAAGGACTGCGTGACACAGGAGAGATATTTGTTACTCATTCACCGTTTCCCTCCAAAACTCCCAAACAAATGAATACTCCCGCCTTTTTCGCGGTTTTCCCTCCAACCAAAAAAGTTATTCGAATGTTCTTAACCTTAACTTGCAAAACCAAAAATTCTGAGAGAGAATAAAATCGAAATATTCTCAAAATATAAAAAATCATCACCTATTGTCATCCATTTCTGTCCAGTTCTCTCAATTCTTCTGAAAATTCTACTCTCCCCAATTGAATCACCGGTTTTTTTAATTTTTTAAAATGTCATGAGCGTGCAATAATTTCCCTCCATTTTGTCTAAACTCAAGAATTCATCAAATTGAAAAAGAAGGGAAGAAAATAATTGTACTTTCAAAAAAATTTGTGACTTATAAAAAACAACAAAACGCAGAAACCTTCACTTTTTTCACATTAATCCGTTAGATTGTCATGAAATAATATTGGAATATTTGAGTGCAACTTTTTCATTGTCCTCCAAAAATCACTCGACACCAACTTGTAACTTTCTAGGAAACTCTGCGAAGAGACTAATTAATATATATTATTATTAATGAATATCGTGACCGTACAAAAATTTCCCTGCGTTCTTTCTAAATTTCTCAAAAATCCACAAAATTGAAAAGAAAAAAACAAGAGAATTATCGTACCCTCAAGAAGCTTCACGTCTCATAAAATAACAACCAAACGGAAAACCACTAATTTTTTCATGTTAATCAGACCGTCAGTTTGTCAGGAAGCTAAAAAACCGGGATTTTTGAAAAAGTTGAAAAAGAAAATCCCTAAAAAAGGGATCCAAATGCAAAACTCTCTGAATCACGAGAATCCTCTCGATAACCGATAAAACTAAAAAAAAAACCGATATCCCTCCCCACCAAAAATTCAAAACCATCAACATCTCCAAAAAATTGGCAACCGGCTGAACCTGCGCATAACCCCACCACAATCCAAGAAATTATCGACAACAATGCGCACACACTACCGATAACCCACAAATACCAGAGCAAACTACACGAACAACATCACCACATTAACAAAATCACAAAGTCCTCACTGGCAACTAGACTGCGCACACAGAGCGACATTCGTCGTACGATGGCGCAACATGTTGGCCAAACGCTCAAACCGGCAACCCTAATTCTTATTTTCGCCTATTTTCACATAAACAATGCAATATACCTGTCCCCAAGAAATCAAAAATCACCACCAGAAATCACAACCATCCACCAAATTCCCAGTGATAACACCCCAAAAACAAGTGACACCAACCAATCAAGTGATAACAAAGTGCTAGTGACTGGTCAACACCTCGACAATCTCCAAAACTTTCACTGGTCGGACAATCCTAAAATTTGCAATGACAGCAAACCCCTGCACCTGGTTGACATAAAAAAATCACCGGATGGAAATGACATTGCAACATACGAATTATCACTGAACCAGTCATTTGAGGTTACAAGTGTCTATTTCTGTGTGGGAAGTGTCGACGAGTCCCATACGTCATGGACTAATCTTGGAAACAAATTCTCCCTCAAAATGTGAGTTATTTATGAATAACTTCTATTTTCCCCCTTTTTTTCTCATTTTTTCCAGGCCAATGTCGAAGTCATTTATCATTTTGTTAATTACTCATCATTGCACAATCGGTTGGTTTTTCCTCGTTCCCAGGTGACGAATCAACTGGTCATTATCCCCTTTGTCGTGTCTTCATTTCATTATTTTGTCGTGGGAATCTATCAATTACCAGCGCCAATTGATAACTGTTGATAACGGATTGCGTTATCGATATGGGATTCATTCATTGAGAGCTGAAAATTATTTTCGTCCAAAAACTAACTCACGGATGGCCTTACGTATTTCAATATAAAAATAGATATTGGCCTACATCTGGTGTTTCACTACTTACGAATTAATATAACAGAGGATTTACGATTTGCTGTAAATTCAATACCGATTTGAGTGAGTGGCCGCTGTTAGACCGATGAGCCGTTGAAAGAAGAGACTCGGACTCGAGGTGTTAATTGAACATTTGCTTTCACATTTTTTGCTCATGGAAAATTTTGAGGAACTCTGCTCTTTTCTTTCTCTTCTTTCTCCTCTTTCCCTCCACTGGGAATTTCTCCATGTATTTCTCAAGAAAATAAACAAAATTAATAAAAGAGCCTGTGTCATTACTTATTTTGAAAATAAAAAAGGAAACCATTTGATTTTCATTTTCCTCAAATACCTCCCAGTCCTCGATTTTAAATATCAACGATTCCCTCAATTACTAAATTAATTCCTGATGGAATTCCTGATTTTCTTATCACCCTCATCCAATTATTCAACCCCTGCATTTGAAATTCGAAGCTCGTTCGATTTTATCATATTTCTAATCACCTCGACTGCCTGTTTGTCTGTTTTAATCGAGACTGAGTCATTAATGTCTACCATTCATTATATAGTTAATAATGGTAATGCGAATGCTTGCTGTGTCATTTCAATATCTGAGTGCCTGCTGAGTGATTATAATACTCTTTGTTTGGTAAATGTCCACAAAAATCGAGGGATTATCTGGATTTCATTGCAGAAAGGGCAGCCGTGCCCCACGAGACATCGAGATCCCCCAGGTATTGCCGTTATCATCATTCACTGATGTCAATATACATGGTCTTCGTGTGGAGCATGCCATCAAAGAGCCATTCATTGCCAAGAACGGAATGCCAGAGATATTGGCTGGGGGTGAGGCGACGTTACGCCTCTTTGGCACTGGTCTCAAGAATGATACGATGATTGTGTTTACGGATGAAAAGCCCCAGGAGGATAAATCCTGCACGAGAATAAAATCAGATGAATTTCAAGTCCGTGAAAATGATCATTGATGAATATTACGACTTAACGAACCGACACGAAATCCCACAACTGCTAAAAAAAAATTATTTTCCAGGTACAAAATGCTAACAAATTCACAGGGACTGTTGACGTGATCCTTCCCATGGGCTCGCCATTCTACATCTGCGTTAAACAGGTGAAAAATCCCAATGGTGAATCAACCGAGACGAGAGTATTCTACAAACATCAGGGAATGGAGACTCATAAAGCAGTGAGTTGTCATATTTTTTTTCGTGTGTGCGTATTTTTTTTATTCCTCGGTCCCATAAAACTGTTATCTCGAGACTATCCAGATTGAGGCCAATCAATCTGGTGAAAGAGATCACGATGATAATGGCACATGTCTTCCAGATTCGTACCTACGAAAAAATGCTGGCACTCTGGTTACAAATAACAATTATTCTCACGTGTCTGGCATTCTCAGCGCTATTCTCAGGACTTAATTTGGGTCTGATGGCGATGGACAGAACGGAATTAAAGATTTTATGCAATACTGGGACTGAGCAGGTTCGTTGGAATCCAGATGAGTCGGAAATAATTTTATCGATCATCAGAATTACTATTGATCAATGATTTTTAGGAACGAAAATACGCGAGAACAATTCAACCTGTACGAAATCACGGAAACTATCTGCTGTGCTCTATTCTTTTTTCCAATGTTCTTGTTAATTCGATATTTACTATTCTCCTGGACGATTTAACGTCTGGTGAAGTTGCTATCGTGTGCTCAACCTTGGCGATCGTAATCTTCGGTGAAATTTCACCTCAAGTGAGTGTCAAAAAGCCGGAGATTGCAGATAAATCCATCACGAATTAACGATTAACCTTGCAGGCATTTTGCAGCAGACATGGACTCTGCGTGGGTGCCAAAACAATTTACATAACGAAGCTCATGATGGTGATAACGTTTCCACTGAGTTATCCCATAAGTAAATTCCTGGATTTCATGCTTGGCGAGGAAATTGGCAACGTTTATAATCGCGAACGTCTCAAGGAGCTTGTTAAGGTGAATTTCATAATATTATATGATTTTTGGAGAGCGAGGGGAAGCCCTTGATTGGCTGAACAATTCACTTCAATACTCACTGATAATTTATCACGAGACTTCCGTAAAATGATACACTGGATTAGATTACTTAAGACTGATTAGAGTGACGTTAAGTGGTCACGCAGTATCACAAGATTTTAACAGTGAAATTTTGGAAATTATCGAATCTAACTAATCAATATCACCAGGTGACAACAGGATACAACGACCTCGAGAAAGATGAAGTGAATATAATAGCTGGAGCCCTAGAGCTCAAGAAGAAAACAGTTTCTGATGTGATGACTAAAATCGAAGATGTTTACATGCTGGATTACAACGCAGTCCTTGATTTCGAAACAGTATCTGAAATAATGAAATCAGGTAAATTAGCTGGCCTCCTGTTCGTCTCAAATTAACGATAAGCCAAAGAGGATGATAGCTATCAATCGATAATACCATCACCATACCTCAAACCCTTATCGCAAAACAATACACTTGAAAATTTATCGATCTGTCGAGGTCTTTTGAAGGTGCTAACCTGATTGATTTATTCAGGATTTTCGAGAATTCCTGTGTACGAGGGCGAGAGGAATAACATCGTAACTATGCTTTATATAAAGGATCTGGCATTCGTCGACCCTGACGACAACACACCCTTGAAGACACTCTGCCAGTTCTACCAAAATCCAGTTTACTTCGTCTTCGAGGATCTCACCCTCGATGTCATGTTCCAGCAGTTCAAAGAAGGTTAATACCTCGATATCAGAATGAAAAATAGCTGATTGTTAAATCCATAATAGCTCGGATTCAAAGCAGATAACGACATGTCCTAGAGATGTTTTTTGCAGCTATCATCTTTTTCAATCAAAAATGTTTATGCAAAAAAATCGCTATGTTTTTTCAATTCCGAGATATGGATTGAAAACTGACCTCGAAAAAATTCACTTATCCCAGTTTATCACTTGAGTACTGTAATAATCTGATGGAGTTGTTTTATAGGTCACAAAGGCCACATGGCCTTTGTCCAGAGGGTGAACAGCGAAGGTGAAGGCGATCCCTTTTACGAAGTAACAGGTCTGGTGACCCTAGAGGATGTTATCGAAGAATTGATTCAAGCTGAAATAATGGACGAAACCGACGTATTCAGTAAGTCAATAAATCTGCATATCACTCTGTCCCACATACCACCGATAATTCACAATCTCAATGTTAAACAGCTGATAATCGAAGTAAACGAAAGAGATTAAACAATCGTCCAATGATGCCCGACTTCACTGTATTCGCGGAGAAAAAGGAAAACCAGAGAATCCACATTTCTCCACAATTGACATTGGCAATGTTTCAATATTTATCAACGAGTGAGTTAATCCTCAATCATCAATCGTAACATTATCTAACGTAACTGATCTATTTACAGCTGTGGATCCATTCAAACCCGACACGATATCGGAAACAATTCTTCGCCGATTACTCAAGCAAGATATCATCTATCACATAAAAGTTAAGTCTCGTGAGAAGGCACGCAATGATCCAGGTGCTGTAATCTATCAGCAGGGCAAAGCTGTTGACTACTTTGTTCTGATTCTCGAGGGGCGTGTGGAGGTCACCGTTGGAAAGGAAAATCTTATTTTTGAGAGCGGCCCATTTACTTATTTCGGTTGTCAAGCCCTCAGTCCTAATTTCGCTGTTGGTGAGTAGTAAATTACATCTTACAAGGGATGAAAAATAAATTATTTTTACTCTCTTGGTCCTTTTGATAGTTCTAATATTATCTATGACTCAAATAACCGCAAAATAACTGGTTGATTGATCGAGATATAAGGATTTGGCAAAAAGTCACTTTCCTCCCCGGAAATTCATAGTACGGGCTCCTAGCCAGGAGTTGCAAATAAAAATTGTTATTTTTACTTTTTCGGCCTCTCCGAGCATTTAATACCATCTACGAAGATAATCTATTCCAAACTAATTGCTTAATTACCCAATTATCCCCGATTGTTCCAGTGACTGAGTCACCAACGACAACAAATCCCCAGAGTCTGGGAAGTATTCAATCGATAAACCTGGACGCGATACTGCGTCATACATTTGTTCCGGACTACACAGTCCGGGGAATAACGGAGGTATTCTACGTTAAAGTGAAGAGATCGTTGTATCTAGCAGCTAAGAGAGCAACTTTATTGGAGAGAAGCCAGAAAGACCCATCACCGAGTCAAGATCAATTTGACGATGAGGTTGAGAAACTACTACACTCCCTCGACGAGGATGATCACAGTATGCCAACGACACCGAGCAACGAACGTCGTCATCATCACCGAGTTAATGACACACGTCAACAACAGTCACCAGTGCGAAGTGCCACAGCACCGACATCGCCTCTGCCAGTTAGTGCCAGTCCCCTGACTAATTCAAAATTTGTACCAAGAAATGGTCCCAATGGACAGCTTAAAAATTCACCAGTGAAGATCGAGGAGATACCAATGCATCCGCCAAGCCAAAAATTAGACCTCGATGCTGAAATAGCATCACGTCAAGCTGAAGCAAATCGGCCAGCCCCCAGCAAAAAGCCATCAGTTGACGAGGAGGAGCGCGAAAATCTTCTGTCAAAACACGTTGACTCTTAACGCTTGCAAAATGGCCGTGCGATAACAATCGACATGGCTAAACAATTGACTAAAAATCACAGCTGCAGTCCAATTACAAACAGTACCAATCAAACAACGTGACACTTCACGATTAAGCTGTAGCCTTAAGAATGGATGAGATACTTAATTAGTACCAGATTATTGTTTATATGTTCATCGAGACCGTGGTGAATTCATTATTCAAAATATTTTAAACAATCAATTTTTACGTTAGATTCACCTGCTCAGGGAACTGATGCCAAATTATCATAAATTTCGTCCGTTTGTCCAGTTTATTTCAATCAATTGTCGTCTGTTTGTCCACTTCAACTAATTACGAAAAACTAAAACAATATGTCCGGATTTATTTTATAGACAGCATGAAGAGATTTATCTGTCACTTGTACATACCATTCCAATTTTTATCATTTACCATGAAAAGTATTTCGAATGAAAATAATCCACCACCTTTATGATACATGTGACACAAATACTCAGCCAATCAGTGGTTCAAACCATTTAGTTTTTAAATGAAGTTTAAAAGAATTCTCAAGGGGATAGAGTGAAAAAATTTCATCGAATATGATGATGATTAAGAATTGCCTAATATTAATCTTTTATATACGGTTCGTTAGTCCTGTTTAATCATGTTTATTCGTTGAATGTTTACCTCCTTCGTAAAGATTCCGAGTGCCTGCTTACTTATCAAATCATGTTTTCAAAGAGTGAAGAGGGGGTGGTGAAGGGAGGTGGGGATAATTACGAGATACCTTGGATAGAAAATGCCATCGAATTAGAACTAGCTTTGCGGTTGTATCCGGTATATTGGGATACCACCGAGTGACATTATTTTTTATACCAGAAGAAAGGAAAATTCTGAAGTGTATCTCATTGGACAAACAATCCACTAACATCGAATGTACTATTTATCCAATTACAACCATCAATTTTATTCAGTTTATAGATTGAAATTTGATCGATCATATATCCGATTTTATTTTTTCATTTTCATAGATAATGAACAGATCCTTCATTATTCATTTAAATAAAATAAAATCATCAGATATTCGTCAATCTGCTATCACACTCTGTTCAGTAAAATCCCAATGAATTGTCATTTCTCCCAAACAATCTAGCTATTTATTTAGTAATACCGCAGACAATAAGAGTAATTAGCAACTATTCCTGTCCGAGTTTGATAAAAAATTGAACGACTGCGGGAAAAATCACTGGGTGATCCATGACTTAGAGAAAACGAGAGGAGAAATTGTGAGATGGTGCCTATTTCTACGAATATTGTTGCTGGAATTGACGATTATTGTTAGCGTAGTGTTCCCCCATTAAATCGCAGCTGAGGATTAAATTCTAATGGGTTCATTTAAAAAAATATTTCCCATAACTCCATCCCATTAAAAAATGTATCATTTATCGGGAGTATGTTAGTGGCTTGCGAACATGTTAAACTTAATAGTTATACATATAGTATATAAACACAAATATATATGAATTTATATTGATGAAGTACGACGGAGATGTTGAATTGTGTTCCCTACAGATGAGTAATTATCCAAGAGAGAAACGTATGATTAACGTGAATAGTTTCGATTGTAATGAACAAACTCTAAGTCAAATTTGCATTTCATTTACTATCGAGATATATATCAGCATAAAATAGTTATATTGTTGTACTTATTGAAAATGAAACAAGGTGAATTCGATTTGATTAAAGCATATCTCAAAACAACAGCATTCAATTACACCTCAATTATCCCATGGACTAATTGCACTTGTTCTCCAATTTTCCTATTGACTCCAAGAACAAGCGGAAGTATAAATAGACTAATTCAACTGACATTATTCACCTGTTCGTTACCAAATCGTAGATTATTTTGACATTTCTTGATACTAGAGTAAATAATGAAACTGCGCTTCCAGTTAAACAGTGGAGATGAGTAATTGACTGGGAAATCATTATTCACACGAAAAAAATACAAACTCCCACTGCTTCTCGTTGATGCAGACGTCAATGAGCTTGACGGATCGTCCTGACTGATGTGCAAGTCAGTCTGCAACATGCAGTGGATAGTACCTCATGTATTTTTTTCAAGTGAATTGTATTTTTGAACGATATAAAACCGACTAAACTGGCGCTGAATTTTTTTTTTAAACGAGAGAGAATTGCCACGACTGTCAGAGATGATTGATTAAATTGTTAATTGGAATGGGAATTGATGGAGTAATCCTGAAAGATTGGTAATTAAATATCAAACCATCAGTGGATTTAAATGCCCAACTCAAGACAATCTAAATTGCCTCGGCTATTTCCCGAATTTTCCTCTTTGCAGTGAAAATAAAAATAGTTGTTAACGATTTCCACGCGTCGATAAATCAAACAGTCAGGGTTTAGCGAAAAATAATCTACTGGTCCCGGTTAACATCCGCTATTAGCGTTGATGTAACTGGTGCTGGGATTTTTTGAAATTCATTTTTTTTTAGAGGAGCCGTGAAATTTTATTTTAATTTTTATCAAATTCAGTGATTTTTCGCGTGAATTGACAGTTCTCAAACTATTTTAGATAATCCAATGAGGAGGAATAAAAATGAATACTTCGTATTTATTCGGGAGAGACCAAGAATGGGGGCCGAGATACTATTTCACGTACTACAGTGAATTTGGAGAACGCGGAAATGTCAGCAAATTTGAAGTAAGCGAATATTTTCAGAATAGACAGCATCAAGTAAAATTTCCGGTTGACGTTGATGGACCCGGTGCTGATAGTCTTATCAGCGCGATAAGAAAATCCGGAAGCGAAAGAATTTGTACCAATTTCACATTTCGAATTTCCCTCAATTATAGCAAAAAAAATGTGAATTGAGACCTAATCTCTCCTGATTACAGGTCACCGTATTATCTCTCATATTCTTCACCGCAATTGGCACAAATATAGGGATAATCGTGTGCATTATTCACTACAAGGAAATGCAGACCCCGACAAATCGCTGTCTTGTTAATCTAGCCGTTGCTGATCTATTATTTGCCGTTGGAATTCCGGCAATTGCGTATACTAGACTCACACAGTCATGGAGTTTGGGAGAAACAATGTGTAAATTTTTGCCATATTCTCAGGTACGATAAATTAACTCTCGATTCAATCCCGAAGAACTATATCCTTTGCGATGTTGCAAAATTATACTTGAAATTTAAAAAAAACGTACAGTTTTTTATTGATCGTTTGAATATTTCCATTGAAAATTCAATTATTATTCGATATAAAAATGTGACCGCTATAAATTTCATTCAATAAAAATATCGCCTCTCAAAATATTCCACAAAAATATTACAGCTCAAAATATTGATTATTGATTTTCAAGATGAATTAAAAATGAAAAATTCAGTGTGCATTTTCAATTGAAATTAAATTCAAACTTCATTAATTAATTTTTTTCCCTTTATATTTACATTCCCCTTTTTTTAGCCTTTAGCCTCTCCTACTATCCTCTCATTATTCTTGCGGTAATTAAAAATTTAAGAATTGTTAAAAAAAATTAACAGCCTGATAAATAAAAAAAATTGAATCAGCACAAAACCCGGTTAATACACGGATTAATTATTTTCAGCTTGTCTGTGGATTCGTGTTATTGTGGACACTAACATTGATATCAATCGACAGATACAGATGCCTCGCAGTGTCTCCATACAGAAGTGTATTATCGAAATCAAGAGTTTATGTAGCAAGTGCTATAACTTGGGGAATGGGAATTGCATTATTTTTTCCTGTGGCCCTTTGGTTCACAACTCTGGCAAGTTATCACTAAAAATTCAACGAAATCACTCCTATCAATGAATTTTCTATTCCAACCGAGAAATTCTAACGAAAACGAATTCTTTAAAAATCGAAAAGAGTGAATGTAAAATTTGGACAGCCAAATGTTTACAGAATTTTTTCAATTTTTCAGGAATCAATGGATAAAAAAACAATCTGCACGCTGATATTTCCAATAAACCAAGTGGTAGACGTTTCCCTGTGTTTTATCATTCCCACAGTGATATTAGCTTGTTTTCTACCGATGTGTCTCCTAGTCTACCATTACCACAGGATTTTCCAGAGGATAATTGATGCCAGAAGCAGGTGGGCGGTACCATGTGTCTCTCAGGTGATTATTTCCCAGAGAATAAACCAAAAAAATTGATTTCGAAAGGAATGTGAAAAAATTAATTCTGCACAGACAACTGAGATGTCAGGCACTAGAAGAGACTCTGAATTATCAGTAATTGGAAGTATGGGCCTGTCAGCGTGGACAGGTAGAAAATATTCTGGAGCCTCGATAACAGCTCGTGAGGGTCGAACCGGAAGTCTCTCCCAGAGCGAAGAAATCAGACTCCACCGGCACCTAAAAGTCGTGAGAATTCTCCTCCTCAACGTGATTGTCGTCCTGACCATGTGGCTACCAATAACAATAATAATGCTACTGATATACGTGGACGGTCACAGACCAACAGAGGACACCGACTTCTTCCTCAAGTCCCACCACTTCATCTGGTCCCTAATTATTGCGCAACTCAATACAGTTGTCAATCCCCTACTCTACGGTGCATTTTCCGAGAATTTCCGCTCGTGTTTTGCTAAATTATGGCAGAGAAGACCGAGAATATACACATGTACTAGTCCCCTGTCGATAAACAGCGCAAGACCTCCGTAAAAAATAAAATAACCGACAAAATAAATACAATAATGTACATAAAATTATTTTTATAGCCAACCAAACGTATAAACTGGAAGAAATCTGTGACAAAATCCTCTCACAGAAAAATATAACAAGCATCAGTCCCTCAAATTTCATCAATCCTTCCTAATACTCTTCTTAATATATCTCAACTTAACATCATCAAGACATTTCTTCTTCATCAAACTCCTGAGAGTCTCCAGTTTAGCTGTGAATAAATTTTCCCTATCTATGCTAGACTGACAGGAGCTCTCCTCTGTTCTGCTCGTGTCCAGAACATTATTCATGATACACCACAGCTGTCTCTTGCACTGGGTAGCCACGAGATCAATTCTCAAATCGAATATCTCGATATCCCTCAGGTGTCTGATATCCAGAGGAACCTCCAGAGTCGTCACTCGATCACAAACAAACTTCGAAGCAAAGAGCCTCAGCCTGTCAACTCTCACATTAACAAAAACCTGACTGTCCTGGGGGAGACCCTCGAGCCTGACCTGGAGAAAATCCCTACCACCAGCCCTCATGATCCTCACAGCCGGTGAAATCTGAATCTTCTGCTTATGAGCATAAGCATTTATCCTCTCTAACTTATTCTGCCCCGCAGCAATTGCCTTGTTCACCTGTTCCAATTCTCTCGCCCTCTCGCATATCCTGTCCACGATGATATTCGTGTTCCTGATCATCTCCTCTTTGAGAGTACAGAACTCTCTCCTCTCGTTCTCTTCCATTCCAATGATGTGAAATTCCGTGAGTTCACAACCGTTCGATAGCACCAGAAGCCCCTCACCCCGAATCTTTACAGAATTTATTATTTTTTCTTTAAACGCCAACACAACGTCAACTTTTTCGTTTCCACTCAGCCCAGAGGAATCAATTTTCAATTTTCTGTGGTAAATATTGTTCCCATTGGTGTAAAAACTGGAGATATGATCCTGAGAAAAATTTGAGATATGAAGAGCTAGGGCTACGATCTCTCCATCATACTGCAGCTTCTGCGAGACCACCAGCTCCTCGTTCTTGTCTGGTAACAGTAGTACCAGATAATTATTTGTAATCAATCCAACGCCAAAGCTTCTCTTGTCTCTCCTAATTGCTACGATATCAGTGATAAAATTGGTGTCGACGTGAACAATCTCAGCCTGTTCTCCTGTCAATTTGTACAGTTTCCTTCCAGTGGAGATCAAGCAGAATTTATGACAGCTGTCTGGATTATCGTAAAGTATCTGTCTCAAGTCATAAACGACGACTCCATCCCTGTTTCGATAATTAACGTCACGGAATAATTGCAGAAGTGGTTTACAATTTTTCGTGAATTTGTCAGCGAGATAGAGCGAATCCGTCGTGGGTTTCAGCACCTGGTGCACCTCGCAGCCGAGGCCTATCCCAGTTTTACTGAGGACAGCAAATGTCAGCTTATCTGAAAGCTTGAAGATCCCTGTTGGTTCACAGACGATGAATACTCGTCCTGAGTAACTGCAAATCGTTCTGATAGGCTTTGGAGTGACTAGTATCTTCGATACAAAATGCCCTGTCTCAATTGTCTCGGTGTTATCGTTACACCTGAAGGCTGACTGATAACAAAATATCAGGAGTTGATCCTCGTGCCAGATGAAACCAGTCTCGGTTCCGTAAAAATCCAGGACTTCCAAGTGCGTTCCACGGAATTCTTTACAAATTTCTCTTGACAATTGTTTTTTGAGAATTTTACTCATTGATTACCGGACCCCGATGAGTCATGCTCTTGGATGTGAGGGTGGCTGGTGGTTTCTATCGAGGAAGAAATGCAGCGATGAGTCAAGGCGTCCAGAGAAAATTAAAAATCGTTTCAATGGACACGTAAAGATGAGATTGTTTTAGCAGAAAACTTCGAAAATAAAAACGAACAAGAGAATTATAACCTCAGAGAGATGAATAATACGAACCAGATGACAATGCCGCCTTCAAAAAGCTCTCAACAATTTTCCAAATCGATCATTCCATCAATCTCAAAACTCGCGATGAAACGTAAAAATATAAAAAATTCCTTTCTGCATAAATAATCGACATATTCGTGTGTTGACGAGCAACAGATGGGGGCCCTTTAAACCCAGTTAAATCGTTATGATAATAATTCAAAGACTATTGATAAAATCGGGGTCTGCAGTACCTGAGGATGACAGAAATCTGCTCTACCAATTTTCTCCATGCATAAAAATGGATAAACTGGAGAGAACCTGCGAGACCCAGTGAAAAAACAAATAATTTCATTGGTTATCCCTGAGATTTTCGTGGATTTGAGGACTTGGGGTGCATCGAGGTGTTCCAGAAAATGTGGAAAACTGAATTCTACGATGCTGAGGAGGAGGAATCGGTGAGAGTCTATTCAAAACTCCAAGAGGCAGCCCACGACAATGAAGGTGTTGAAACAGTGACATCAAGGGAACAGGTATTATCAAAAAAAAATAATAATGATTCACTCTGGACAGCTCAATCCACTGGATTCATCGAATAATTGATTGTTGATTTTTTTTTCCTCCAGGAGAAGGTGGAGGAGAATATCCTTAAACTGTACAATCTGAAGCGAGAGCCCTTGCTGACGAAAAATCGACACATTGGATTTTTAAAGAGATCGCTGATCAATATGTCAGCAGCTTATGAAGTTAGTAGTCAGGGCTCGTGAATTAAGAGGTTTATGAATTTATTTTTATCAGCGAAATGAAATTTTTGACTGGATTTTAGTGCTTGGACAGCAGTAGACCCTGGTTATGCTACTGGAGTCTGCATGCCCTGCAGATTCTGGGGGAGAGACTGGAGGACGACGAGTACCACAAGATTGTTCAATTTTTATCAAAATGCCGGGATCTAGAGGGAGGTTTTGGCGGTGGCCCTGGACAATATCCTCACTTGGCATCTACTTATGCTGCTGTATCAGCACTTTGTATCGTTGAAACTCGAGAAGCCTACGAGGCGATTGATCGGTCAGTCTGCTAATCCGATAAACCTCTTCCTCATTCTCATGCTCATTCAGAATATTCGATATTAAGTCAACGAGAAATGTCTCTCGATTGAAATTCATCTAATCCCAGTGAAATAAGAACTAATTATCAATTTATTTCAATAACTCTCAATTTACCACGGAAACGACAAAGAATTTTTTTCTAGATAATTTAATTCCCGAGAAAAAAGCTCTCGTGATATTTTCCTCGAAAATTGATAGTTTCTTAGATAAATTGAAAGAAAGATGAAAGAATAGAAAAAAATGAATTGAAAAAAGAAACTGCAAGTTTACTGATTTTTTTGCTTGACTTTTTTCAACAGAGAATCGCTGTACAGATTCCTGAAGTCTGTAAAATGTGAAGACGGTAGTTTCAGTATGCACAGAGACGGCGAGGTCGACATAAGAGGTGTTTACTGTGCAATAGCAGTGGCTAAACTCGCGAATATTTACACCCAATCTCTCTTCGAAAATACAGATCAGTGGATAGCACGATGTCAAACATGGGAGGGTGGTTTTGGGGGATGTCCAGGGATGGAAGCCCACGGAGGATACACGTACTGTGGTTTAGCATCTCTCGTACTTATGGGGAAAACACACATGTGCCATCTCCCCTCGCTCTTGGTACACGACTTTACTAATTACACCCAAACATATCGCAATATACCTCGAAATTTACCGGAGATAGCGAAAATTTTGTTGTACCTTTTTTGTAGGTCTTACGTTTCTCCACAAAAAAGATTCTACAAAAAATTCTTCTATCTCCCTCAATTTCGGAGATATGCCTCACGAAACCCGAGACTAATTAAATTTTCTGTGCAGCGATGGCTAGTCAATAAACAAATGAAGCTGGAGGGCGGCTTCCAAGGAAGGACCAATAAATTAGTCGACGGTTGCTATTCCTTCTGGCAAGGTGCCTCATTCCCCCTGATCCATGCAATCCTCTCCAATGAGGCTAATCTACCAAATACCAATTACTGGCTGTTTGATCAAGCAGCTTTACAAGAGTACTTACTCATCTGCTGTCAGCATCCCTATGGCGGACTCTTGGACAAGCCCGAAAAGTAAATTGCTTCAACTCCTTCCACTAATCACACAATAATCACACACTAATCACACACTAATCACACACTAATCACACACTAATCACACTTTAATCACACACCAATCACTTAATTAATCTCTTAATTAATATATTTGCAGAAATCGTGACATCTACCACACATGTTACGGTTTGAGCGGCCTCTCCATAGCCCAGAATTCCCCAACACCTCTGATCGTCGGCCGAAAGCACCAAAACTCAGTGGAAATAATCCATCCACTTTACAACCTAGTGCTCTCCTCCGTGGCAAATGCCCTGGGATACTTCAACAAATTACCACTGCCCGATTGATCCCCAAACTGTCCATCATCATCTAGAAAATCCCGAGGAAGGACCAACCGATGTTCGAGCGATACTCAAAAGTTTCATAAATTTTTTATAACTCAATAAAGTCACTGTTAGATAAATGTTGATATTCTGTTGACTCATGTGGTCACTAAATATAATAATTGAAATGTTGAGCGCTTCACTTCACTCTGAATAACTGAAATAATTTCGCTAGTCTCTCGGAAGTAAACAACTTTTTTCCCGCCCACAACTCCCCAATCGATGTTTTGACTCACTTTTCCTAAAATCCCATTGTTATGTTTTCTCCATTCGCGTTCAGACAATGAAGCATCGTAAAGACTGGAATAATATTTTCTAATAAGTGGTGAAGAGTGATTTTTGGCGAGTGGTATAATCCCAGATGCCAAACAGAACTTTCTGCATAATTTGTGGACAATTATTTTATTCAGAATGTGCGGGGAAGTAACTTTTCGGAAAATTGTGATGAAAAATATAATTTCGGGTATTTTCGAATGGTGAATGGTGAATGGTGAATATTTCCAACTGTAAGGAGAAAAAGCAAGTCGATGAAGGCATCCATGGTCGACACTCAAGGTAAATAAGAAATATTGAAGTAATTATGAACAATTAATTGATAAAAAGAAAAAATTGAGGCTAATGACGAAATAAATGTGAAAATACTTTTCGACTTCAAAACGGATTTTTACGATTTTCTGGTCTTTTTTGACGGATTGTTTCCGTCGATTGATCATCTCAATCGTTTATGAGATTTTGTTTATGAATAATTAATAATAATAAACGTTATGTTTGTGTTTCAGGCCATGGCGTAAGGTAGGTCGTTCGAAAGATGAAAACAAGGTTTCTCATCCAACGCCGGTGAATACAAATTTTTCAATATCCAATTATTTATTAATCTTTTAAATATTTTATTCAATAATTTTATTTGAATCCGCGACCGTTAAATTTCTTCTGCTAAAGCGAAGACCGCGCACTCTGTTTTCCGGTTTTCTTTTCCCGCGATTTTTATAAATTATCTGAGATAACGCATTATCTGCGACCTCAAGTGCTGAATCCGTGAAGTCCTCAAGTCTCCCAAAGCCGGAATGTCTATTTCCTCTCTCCTCTCTGTATTTGAAAAATTATGGAACACCCTAACCCCAAAATTCACCGAAAAATGAGCAAGTGGCGAATTGAGTGATAATCGTGAGGATAAAAAAAAACTAAAAATCAAGAGTTACAAAAAACCTGGACATCGGTTACGAGTAAATCAATCAGTGAACAGACGAATTGAGTTGGGGATACGTTATCCAGGTTATGGCAAAGTACATTGCCCAAATAATAGTGCTGGGCACTCAAGTTGTGGGTAGAGCATTTGCACGAGCATTGCGTCAGGAAATAGCAGCAAGCCAGGAAGCAGCTAAAAGAGCTGGTGGTGGTGCCCAAGGGGTGAAGAGAGCAGCAGCCAATGCCAAGACTGGACTGTCCCTGGAGGAGGCCCTCAGAATTCTCAACGCGGAGAAGCCAGACCAGAAGGAGCTCATCGAGAAGAATTACAAGTACCTCATGGAGGCCAATGACAGGGCCAAGGGTGGATCCTTCTATCTCCAGTCTAAAATCGTCAGGGCCAAGGAGAGAATTGACGACGAGCTAGAACATAGTCATAAAACAACGGACGAACAGCCCCTTAAACCCGAGACGAAATGATCTATAGTTTTTTTAGTCTGAAAATCTTGTACATATTATTTACTCTTGATAGGAGATCATTGGGAGAATTCATGTCCTACCTGATGATTCGTCAGGTCTCAGGGAAATTAGGGAGTATGTAATTAAAAGGTTGAATAAAAAATACAATAGCTGTGTTGTATTTACGTTTATCAGTCGCTTTTGCGTTATTTTAAAGAATTTATCACGTATTATGTACATGAATTTATAATTTCAGATTTATAAAATCAAATTTACATAATTACTGATACTTATTACTAGTAATATCTTTTCAAATGAAGATTCCCGGGCAGGAGGACTCGCTGGTAAACGCGTTCTCCTGACTCCTATGGGAAATTTCTGTTAAATTCTCTATTATTAATTTACCAAATCCAAATTTCGGGGGATCGTGAGGTATTAATTCAATCTTCGGGGAAATAAGCGAATTCTTGTTTTACGTATCAAATTTATCAGTCGCTTTTACGTTTTTAGATTTTTTTAAATATTACGTACATAACTTTATAATTTCACAGATTTATAAATTCAAATTTACATAATCACTACTTATTAATTATATTATTTCAAATGAAGATTCAAAGGCATGAGGACTCGCTGGTAAACGGGTTCCACATATTCCTTAAAATTTCAAATACTTTCGCAATAATTTGCCAAAATCCGAAGCTCATGAAGTATTTAATTCAATCGTTGAATAAATAAGCGAATAGGTGTTTTACACATCGAATTTATCAGTCGCTCTTAAATTTTCTCGATCTATTATTTACATAATTTTATACTTTCACAAATTTATAAATTTAAATTCACCTAATTACCAACTAATTATCATTACTCTTTAAATATTATTCTTAATGAAGATTGAAAGAGAAAGAGGCCTCGCTGGCAAACGATCCTCCGCGATATAAATCTAGAATTCATTCTAATACAATTAGAAAATCTGTTCCTCACTCACAAATAAATTAACAAAAAAAAAAAAAGAAATGAAATTCCACAATTCACCTGGTGAGACCAGCAACTTTGGCATCCTGTGGCTCGATTCTATTCTGTGTCTGTCTGATCTCCAGTCTCTCTTGATTATGACGTACAGACCACAGTTTTGGTAAAAACTTTGGTCTCATGTTCGTGAGAAAGTGTTCCCTCCACATTCTCTCGAGGGTGACGAGTCCACTCTGGGAGTTGGTAAAATACTCGACAACTTTGAGTCCATGTGGAATAACTTTGGGTTGCACAGGGGACGAAGAGATTGGCCCCGTGACCTCAAAAGTCTCATTGATAGGTCTTTGATCCTGGGGAATGGGAGAATCTGCTGACGTGTACTCCCTGACACGATTCTCGAGTTCTTTTCTCCGCTGAGGTGGTAGAGGTGATGATTGATCCCTGAGGGCCTTGACAGCAGACATAAGTCGTCTCTGATGATGATCGTTTTTCGTTGGTGGCAGTGATCTGGACAGGGGAGCGTCACATACGGATGACAGATGTCTCCTCAGATCTAAGTCGTGTCGATTGCTGATCTCGTGGCACGTGGGGCATAGAAGTAGAACGTCGTGTGACTGGTGGGCCTTCATCACGAGGGGAAAGTACTTTCTGTACTCCCTGGGGACAACATTCTTCTTTATGAATTTGTCCTGGGCACCGCACACCACGCACTGATTTACTTTGACCTGCGTGTAGTACTGACCAACTTGACCTAGTGCTCTGCCCGATGGCTCGAAATTCAGTCTCACTGTGAGGGGTGCATCATTAACTGTGACACCTAGGCCCTTCGTCACGTACCACTCGGCCTTTTTTCGGTCGCATGTACACAGGGTCTCACCGTCTGGTGCTTGGAGGTAGCAATTGTGATAGAGGGGCTCTTTCCTCGTGGGAATGCTGCTGATCTTCTGGGGATTCGGCAGTGGAGAATTCTTGTTCTTCGTGAGGTTGTTGTTGTTGTTGGCCTCTGGGGTTGACGGTTCCGGGGACCCGCGATATTTTATATCCACCACCTCAGGGGAGACCTCGTGGATGTAAGGAGGGGCTTGGTTATACCGGCGGTGATAGAGACTCTTTATGAAGAGCAGAAAATTACGGAAGATCGAACGCTTTCGTTTTACTGTTCTTTGCATCTGGAAAATTTTTTTAATTCATTTTATTTCAATAAGTCACACGAAATTATTCTAGTTTGAATAATTTAAATTGAATTTTCGGGTTTTTTCGGTTTGCTGGTTTTTATGTCTGGGAAATTGTTACAATTTTATTTATTTACTCAAAAATTAAATAATTTTATGGAGGACTAGTTCTTCATTCATCTTACAATCTGGTAATCATTTTAATCGATCATTTTAATTCCAGTTTGGTGAATTGAAATAGAATTAAAATGGAGTCTTGACTGATTTTAATCATCATATTTTATTTTTGCTTTACCTCTCGATAAATGAGAACAGACGCGACCGCATCATAAGCAGCATAAGATATTTGCTCCTCAGTCAAGTCATCGGCATCCCAATTACCGCATCTCACTTCGATAATTTTCTCTAATTCAGTCCCCAGATACTGCATGCACAGTGCAGCTAGACTCTTTCTACTGGGTATACCGAGGTCATCGGCCAGTGTTCGAAGATCAACAGTTCCAAATACTCGGCATCCATAATCATTCGTTAGCTTTCTTCCATCCTCAAATGGAGCAACCCCAACTTTCAATATACAGTCGTTTGACAGTAATTCCTTCAGCTTAGCAGGAACATATCCTATTTTTCCAAGTCTGAATAAAGCACAGACTCCATTATAAGTGGCCAGTTGTAGAAGAGATACTCGGCCCTCGTTCACCCATTCGCAATCGAAACCGAGAACACCGTGGCATAAATTTCTGAAATAAATATTGAATTGTAGGAGACATTGGTTTTGCATTCACAACAGAATTATTTGTCCTTCGAGATGGATTAATTTTAATCAAAACAAACGATTTAGTAGTGAAAATATTTCGGGGTAATAAATTACCTTCGAATACGTTGTACAGCGTAGTCGCATTTCTCTGGTGAATCTGCCAATATAATTTTACTGAGTGGAAGAATACATTTCTTTTGATTTTTCAAGTCCTCATCCTCTGGGGGACTGGTTATACTATGACAGAGGCTTTTTACACTCCGGAGAACATTCTCTCGGTATTTTGACGCGAGATAGAGAAGTCCCGCGGTTACACACACGAAAATCATGTTTAATAATTTAATCAAAATTAAATAAATATGGAAGACGGATAAACAAAACGATAGACTAAGTACGTTCAAAAGCACGCGGATTGCTTTTAAAATGGAATATCTACACATTAGAGTGGGTTTAATAAATAAATTGTTGATTGACGAAGAGTAGTTTTTTTGGGGATTAATTAAAAGTTCAAGGTTAAATTATTATATGGGAAGATTACACATTTTGAAACTACATTGGGGGATGAGTGACTCGAGATGTCCGGGAATGGACGAACGCGGTGAGGAAACAGATGCGACTGAGACGAGTTCATCGGCGACACCGGTTTTTACCTGGTGCAAGACATTACCGCTCGTCGGTGCCAATTGGCGGGTTTTTTTTGAAAATTTTGAATTTTTTTGTTAGGAATTTATTGGGGGGGTCTGCCCCCTTTTAGCGAAAATTGTTTTTTTTTATTCTCTGACAAATTGTCGATGGGATTGAAAAAATACAGTTTTTACTGTATTTTATTGTTATTTAATAACTCCCAAAATATCATGGTTGTGCAATAATTTTTTAGCGCTTTTCCGGACTTTTCCAAAAATTTATAAAATTTTCGAAGGCTTGGAAAATTATTGCGCTTATGAAAGTTTTTTAAAATTAATTTTTCCGGAATAAAGTCTTGCGTCAGAAAAATCAGGAAAAGAATTTTCCACGGGATCCTCCGTGAGCGAGTTTGCAGAAAAATGGAATTGAAAATTTGAAAATAAATATGATCGAGGGGCTACATCGGAAAATTTGGTTTTAAACTCCTCATGAGGACCTCCACCAATAATTATTCACTTCGTGTATTAAATGCCCTCTCGAAAATATTTTATTGAAAATTTTCAAATAATTCGGGAAAGGATTGATACGAATCAAGACAATTCGATTCTGCTCATATGTTTTTTTATTATCATAGTTTATTGCATAAACTCGAAGCAAGTTTGTAACATTCAACACAATGAACAGAACATCATGTTGAAATGCCGCGTCTACATCTACATTTGACATCATAGTATAACAGTACGATAATGCGCGATGAAGGAAGAATTGAAAATAATCGTAAACGTATATTAATTGACCACACCAATTGATTAGTCTGGATGAACCGATACACCCAAACTTAATCAATGCATTAAAAAATCAGGCGTTAAAAATCATATACAAATTTTAATAATAATAAACAAATGTTTACGTAAAATCTCGAGAATCCTCGAAGGCAAGGCGCTTCGAGGTTTATACTCTTTTGTCCTCACGGCCTAAAACTATTATCTGTGGCTGACTAGAGCACATTATATGACTATTATTACCTTCCAAAAAATTTACACGTTCGAAATATTGAAAATTAATGTCCACGGTTTACAAAAATTACGTATGGCTCCTATAAAGGACTCATGAACAGCCCTGACCCTTTCTAAAATATTTACACCTCGGAATTCTTGAAAAATCCTTCATTAGAAGATAAAATCGTCTCATGTATTCAAAAATTCGTCATTTAAATTCAGTAGCGAAGTGGTAAAATAATTAATCAACTCTATAATTTTCCTTAATTACCGGTCAGTTCGAAAAAAATTCGCCCCTCGCAACTGATGCAATTCCCAACAAAAAAAAAGCTTCTGCGATATTTTTTTTAGATGTTCTTTCGATAAATTACTCATCATATTTTACCACTTCGCGGCTGAAATTCATTTTGAAGTAGTCAAGACTGTCCATTTACCCCAGTCCTCTAGTTCCTCCCGATAAAATTGAAAAAAAATCTGCCTAAATCATCTTGATCTCCTTAACTTCTATAATACATTAACTTATGTATGTTCCAGAATTTTGATTAGTATTTTTGGATTTCCATTTGATCGATTGATGAATTCCAAATTCTCGTCAATCAGTAAACATAATTGAGTCTCGGGAACAAAGATCTCGTAGCTTTCTCGTCAGGATCCAATTGATTCCGATAGCGTCTTGCCAGAAATGCAGCAATCACCTGCATTAAATTTCCCCCCGAATAAACAGAAAAAAATGCCAATTAAATCGGATTTTGAGGTTCAATCGAGTGACAAACATGCATTTGTTATTTTAACGATAACTTGTACGGTAACGAGTACTTGTATGAGATTTAATGATATTTCTAGACATAAACCGTCCCACCCACCATCTAGTTAGCGTGTCGTGCAAGATGACAGGGGTCATGGAGATATTAGACTAGAGAAAAGCACTAGGATTAGCTCTTGGATCTTTCTGGTTCCTGTAGCGCACCGTCAACCACACCCCAACAAACTGCAAATTTAGAATGACATTTTTCTCGCCATGTATTTTTTGATCGTTAATTAGTATTCACAAACATAAATAACAAGAATACATAAATACCAAACCAAACATTATTATCGGATACCAATAATTATGAATGACGGAAAGGACAGATTAATATTCCAAAGGAAGACAGACTGATTATCCATGAGATAACGAGTCATTCATGAATTACCTCAGTAAAACTGAAGAAAAGGCCGATGCCTCCGCAGAGTTTAAATGCATAATCAATTGTTGACTGGAGTTTCTCCATGCAGGGCTTGCAGGAACAGTCTGGATCGATGCTGGGGCCTGGACAGCAGATTTTCTGCACAATGATATTAGAGAATTATTCGAGAATCTTTCCAGTATTTTTAATGATAAACGTACGTTAACGACTTCACAGGAGGGTCTGCTCATGGCAGGATCATCAAGTGGCAATGAATCATTGAATCCACAGCAGGTGAAGGTGGTCTGCACCTGCTCCTTGATATGAGGACTAACGCGTTTCCATCCCTGAATAAATTCCCCAAGATATTAATGTAATATTCAATTTTATCTGACCTATGGAACAATAATTGTTTATCTTTTTAGGTTAAAAAGATAAAATTTAAAAACAAAAGTCGAGATTCGATAGATAATCCACCCGGGCCTTAAATTGAAATGATATATTGTATTCAAATAAATCACCTGCTCAGCCAATTCCTCCTGCTGCTTAGTATTCACAGCAAGACATGCACAAGCGATGCTGAACTGCACGAGGAACAGCAGAAAGAGGATGAGCATGTACTATCAACCGAGATTGTCAAGAAAAAAAAATCTACCACATAGACAAGACCCCGCAATTATGTTTTCCATTTAAAAAGGATACGAAGAAGAGCAGCACTTGATGATGCTTGACAGCACCGATGAGTCCCAATATCGATATGAGAATAAGAATAACTCCACAAGCGAGAATTCCCCCAATAATTGGTAGATTGGTGACGAGGGCTGAGGCCCTTCCATAGACAGCAACTCCAATCAGGATGAAAGCAACGACCTGTAACCACCAACAATCATCAACAACAGTGTCAACCATCGATAATAAATCAATGATAAATTTATAACTAAATGGACTCACGATGTAGAGAATATTTAATGCTGTCAGAGCATTTTTGGAGCACGTGAAACTTCCACACATCTTATCAACTGTCTATAATCAAGAGCCTAATGAATCTTTCTTCTTATTGATTCATCAAGTCGTAGAATCATTCGTCAAACACCACTGGAAGCACAATTGAATTATCAATTGTATGATTATTGATTCATTTATTTAAAAACAATTGATACAAATAGATAATTGTCGTACACTTTGTCCCAGGGAGTTTCAACATGGAGGCAAATGGTGCCCGACCTTTTGGTGGTGTACTACTCATCCAAGTGCCTCAGCTGGCAATATCTCTTTCTCTCTCTGGTTTCCTCAGATTGTGGTGTAGGTGGGGGTCTGGGATCGATATCTCTCTTCATCATTTCACATGGTGGTAGCTGGTGCTGGCAATTGATCTAATTTATGATGAAATTCTAGTCTGATTTTTTCTTCTCGTTTATTTTTTTTCAGTCATTATTTCGATTGAGACGCAGTTGATGTTATTCTCTCGGTTTAGGTTTTTTATATTTATGGAATATCGGAGCGGAAGGCGCGAGAGGTCTTATCACATCTGTTTGCACAGTTTCAATGAATTTATGATGGGGTTGGTGTGTACTGTCTGACAGGCGCCACCGACCGAATTATCTGGCGATTTTTGGGGCATTAGTCTCGGATTTTGTCGAGAAATCGAGATGTTGGATTTTATGGGAAGTCTCTTCGTTAATTTACGTGAATATCAGTTTTATTATCTGATGTTATTCAATTGAGTTCGGGGGGGATATCGCATGATCACAATTCCGGTATTTATAGAATACTATCGGGTGGTAATTATCCTACATCCTACGACGATGGGAAACTGCAAATTTTCCATTCTCGATATGATAAAAAATAGGCTACTCCATCTGGATAAAAATTCTGGAGTAATTGGTGTTGTTCTGTCATTATTCATAATTTATTCTGTCAGAATAAATATTTTGACCCTCTAATTTGAAAAATCATCGAAAAATGAAAATATTTTAACAGGCGCAATTTCACGTATTTATAGATTTTCATATCAGGGATTTAAATTATACTCTGCAGTGAGAAACTCCAAACTTTCCACGGGAGAACGAGAAAGACAAATCGTGAAAATTCCAGAACAAATGTTTAATCGCATCTGCATATTCTGATGACTGGTGATGACTTTTGATAATAAATCATTACAATTGCGCATTGTGAAATTATTCGGTGGTAATCATCAATAAATAAATAAATTGAATAAGATTCAAGTCACAAAATAAACAAGTGGTCGATCTGTAGTTTTAAAAAAATGATTTTTATCGCGGAAACGTCTGACACTGAAATCATAATATTTAGACAGATGAATTACTGATGGAATTTCTAATAATTACCGCTCATTTATCCCGCGAAATTCGTGTTCTATCTTAACTTGAAATATTTACTCAGGAGAATTTCATGTCACCCCAACTGTAGATCTCATAAATTGAGAGAAACATTTAGCAAAATGTAGATCTAATTGTTCACCACGAAAAATGGTTGTTTTTATTGAATTAGATTTAAAATACTCAGAAATATTTTTACTCAGTAATTACTGGATTAATTCAATCTTATAAATATATCGTAAAAATAAATTGATGTACTCTTAATGACATATTTATCCAGAATCGAAACAGAAGAATGAATTATTCAATTCCATTGTATTATTTTTTTGAGACTATTGAAGAGTTGAAAAATATTTTTCTAATCTTCATATGCAAAAAAAAATTAGTTGAGATTACCAAATATATTTATAAATTCAATGCACCCTCAGTCATATCTTAACGAATACTAATTTCAAATTTGAATTCTTGCAAAACGTTTTGAACAAGTAAAGTTATAATCGCGCTCCAAGATTTCAATTATTCGTCTTAAACAAATCTACTCAATTAAATATTTAGCACGGGCAATTATTACGTATTTGCGACTAATCATCCATTAAATTTATTCCTATAAAACAGTTGTCCCATAAAATAAAAAAAATCTTTCCTCAGTGTACCGCTGAAACTCCAGTAGTCAAATATTAAAAAATGATAAGTGCATATTTTTTCGAGTCGAATTTTCCCCGAATATCTCGGAATCGAAGGAGCATAGCGAATTTTCTACATAAACATTTTTTATAGAAAAAGATGAGAGCTACAAAAAAGGTCTCTATGAAAATATCATGATCTGCCTTCAATTTGTAGAAATCGGCGAAATAATTCTCCTCCCAGTTTACCACCGAACGACAAATTTCTGACAATCGCTCTTTCATTTATTTATGCAGCGAAATACGCAGAGAGCATACTTGAAGAGTTTACTGACAAGAATTTCATGTTACCCCAACAGTAGGTCTTGTAGTTGTCTGATTTAATCGGGGTCTTATCGTGGCATACGTAATAAGTCACTAGGGGAGACAAATATGACAGAAGAATAGAGACAGAAAGCAGCCGATAAACGAGTTCAAACGATTGAGTATAAAATGAAGAGGTACCAGCTACACTGACTTTTAATAAGAATCATCTACTGACTCGTTCTCTGGTCGATCGTTTTATCGATCGTATATCGATCTTCGTGCTAGCCTAGTGTCTTGATCCATCGAAAAAACTCTCTTCGTTATTGTAAGTTCTTCATCGGTATTGTCTTCGTTTTTCGTTGTACTTGACGCTAAGTTTGATGTTTATCTTTTTGTTTTTTCTATCTTCAATTTAGTCTTATGGTTTGAAGAAAACGATTGAATGGAGGTACATAACAAAGACACGAAGCAGTGGCCGCAGTATCTCGCAGCTATCACTGGTGAGCGTTTAATCCCCGATTAATGCAAATCCTTGGGGCACTTTGTATTCATGTCTGGAATTCTATTTTTTAATCATCCAATTTTTCCAATTGAATTACGTAAGGGAATTTTTCCACTCGGTCGGTTTATTTCTCTGCAATTCTTCTTTTTCGGTGAATTTTTTGTGGATTTTTTCAGTCGATTCTCGATTTACGGACGCGAAACGATTTTAGAGTATGGGAAAATTTGACTTTGTAAATTATGTTTTTTTATATTTTTATATTTTAGCAAGTCCAAAAATTTCACGGGTTGAAATTTTTTTATATCTGAAAGTTTCTTTCAATTTCTTTTTTTTTCATGAAATTTTTATGACATTTTTCTCTTCAATTGTCAATTCACGGATTCAAAATGTTTTGAAAATTTGGAGGAATCGCAGATTTCAAAAATAATATTTTTTAATTCCAATTACACTTTCCAAAAATATTTTTTTTTAATTCTACAACTTCGAAAAATTCCAATAAATAAATAGTTTCTATCCAAAATTTAAAAAATAGCAAAAATCCCGCATTTCAAAAATGATATTTTCAAATTCCTCAATTTCTCAAAACTCTAGCCATTAAATTCGATCCACACCGGAATTGACTCCGAATTTCCACCAAAATAATTCCAAAATGACAGAATTGTCCCAAAAAACTGCTTTCCAAAGCCAAACCCAATGATTACAAAAATGCCGAAGCCATGGGTAATTCCTCTGACGAAAGCCCCGCGAAAAAATTTCAGCGACAATATCCCTGGCAATAACGGGATCTCACATCGGTTGGACATCGCCGAGTCTGCCATACCTGAAGTCAAACACCTCATCAATTCCCCTGAGCTCAGACGACGCCTCCTGGATCGCGTCATTCTACCTGCTGGGTACAATACCAGGTAGTCTGCTGGCGGCCTTGATCGTGGACCGTTACGGTCGTAAAACAAGTCTCCTCCTCTCAGGTCTGCCACTGCTAGCAGGTTGGGTGCTGATAATAATAGCATGGAACCCATACGTCCTCTACGCCTCAAGATTCATAAGCGGTGTAGGCCAGGGTGTCGTCTACGTGGTGTGCCCGATGTACATAGGAGAAATAGCGGACAAAAACATCCGAGGTACCCTAGGCTCCTTCATCAAGCTGATGGTGACATCAGGTGAGCTTTACGCTCACGCAATCGGTCCCTTCGTACCCTACGATTACCTCGCCTACTCCTGCGCCATCATTCCCCTCCTATTCTTCATAACTTTCGCATTCATGCCAGAATCACCGTACTACCTGATGATGAAGAACGATCGTTCAGGTGCAGCCAGGAATCTACAGCTGCTCAAGCAATACGACTGTCGCAATCTCCAACCTGGTGAAACCCACGAAGTTCTCGAAGAGGATCTAGATCAGATAGCTAAAACAGTCATCAATGATATGACCAACAGGGGCCACTTCTGGGATCTATTCGATACGAAGGGCAATCGTAAGGCCGTTATCATCAGCTTTGGCCTTCAGATTGTCCTCCAGTTCTCTGGATTGGCGGCTATTGAGTCGTACACTCAGGAGATCATCGGTGAGAGTGACTCTGGCCTGTCACCTGGCATTGTTGTTATCATTCTGAGTGTTGTACAGCTGATGGCTGGCATTGGAGCTGCTGTACTCGTTGACAGACTTGGCAGGCGACCTCTTCTACTCATCACCACATTTTTCTCCGGTGTGTCACTCACTGTTGCGGGCATTTTTTACTTCCTCAAGTTCTATTTGGGGATGGAGAAGGAGCTCAGGGATATTGGATGGGCCCTTGATGTATCCGTCATCTCCTACGAGCTGAGTGTTGCACTTGGTCTGAGTCCATTGTCCTACATGATGCTTGGTGAATTGTTTCCGACAAATGTCAAAGGTATTGCCGTTTCACTCGCTTCCCTCTGGGCATCACTTCTCGCTTTTATTGTCTCCAAGATGCATCAGGTTATCACCGATAATTGGGGGATTTATACTTCACTCGGGGGATTTGCCGCTTCTTGCTTTGTTGGGATTATTTTTATACTCTTCTGGGTACCCGAGACCAAGGGCAAGTCTCTGTTTGAGATACAGGAGGAGCTCAACTGCTCCAAGGCTGAGAGGAATAAGAGGAGGGAAAAGGCTGCCAATATCGACGAGGGAGTTTTCAGTGAAATGCACGTCAGCAGTGTATTCTGAGGTTTTCGAAAATTAATTATTCACTGAGAAAAAAATTTTCATTTGCCAATATTTTTTTTCGGACGACAAAATATATTTGGCATTAGTATATATTGTAGGAGTATTTATACAGTGATTGACAGATTTACCGGTGGGAAATAGTATATTGAGCATCAAGGGCGGAAAGTTAGTCTTTCCCCATCCGAGATGCGCATGCTATTCATTAACATTTCTGCAAAGAAAATTTCGGGTTTTTCTGTCTGAAACGCGAGTGGAAAGTGAATTTTTCGCCCTAGGGTGGAAAGTAAATACTTTTCGCCCTAGAGTGGAAAATGAATACTTTTCGCCCTACCCTACCATAATATCCGTCGAAAAAAATACATTTGACAAAAGACATATTTTTTTTCCAGTGAATTCTCTAATTCGGGTGTTGCGTGGGATTTTTTCTTTTTTTTTTTTAGAGGTGATTACTCGAGGTAGCGGAGGAATTCCGACATTTTTCGATTTTATAATTTTTTTTTAATTTTAATTTTTCGTATTCTCAAGGAGAAATTGCACGAAATACCCATTTATGACGACCAGGCTTTTCATGAGGTTAATTATTATTCCCACCATTTTAGTAATCAAGATAATGAGCAAAGTACCGATAATGGAGGATCGCCGAAGGACTGGTTTTCAGGGTGTTCCGCTCCCTTTTACCCAAAATTACCGGTTTTTTGAGTTTTTTAAAATAAATTGGTGGACGCGGAAAATATACCGTTTTCGGGTTTTATTATTTTCGATCGACTCGCAAAATGTGATGATCGTGCAATAATTGTCCTGCGTTTTTCTGAACTTTTCAATGATTCATAAAACTTTGGGAAAAGCGCAGGAAAATTATTGCACAATCATCCAATTTTGGGAGTTATAAAATAATGTCAAAATACAAAAACGGTGGATTTTTCTGGATCGTCCCGATCAAAAATTTATCGGGAAACTCAAAGAATCGTTAATTGTCGCTAAAAGGGAGCCGAAAATTTTTAATTCTGTTATGAAATAGTAGAATACGACAATGAATTTTTTTCGAGGCCAGTTTTTAGCAAATATCTCGGCACCGAAGGAAAACAACGATTTTTTCATAGAAACCTTTTTCATAGCTCTCATCTTTTGCTATAAAATATGTTCCTACGAAAAATCGGTATGTTCCGTCAATCGCGAGATATCGTCTAGAAACCGGTCTCATAAAAGTTTTATTTATCCTAGATTACCACTTCGCTCCTGAAATCAAGAATAGACGGTGTTTTTTTCTGCGTACGTACGTACTATTTATCAATTCATTGATAACCGCTCAATTGTCGTATCTCATGCATTTCTAGATAAATCCCAAAAAATTCAGCAGTCGAATGTTAAAAAATCTATCAACTTCGACTACTAGCCACTTTTTCAGAAAAATCTCGGAATCTACAGCAGATAGCCAAATTGTCATAATAACTTTATTTAAAGGTCTCAATACACTCTGCAAAAAAGGTTATTACAACAATTGTGGTATCTCCTCACGATTCCGAGATATTGATAACTTGAGTAATGAAGTCGATTTATGCTGTTTTACTGCGCCAGCATTGAATTGT